ACAAGTTTTCAGAGCCAGTCATTTTGCAGGGCCCTAACCAACCCAGGAGGTGTTACAAATCAAATTGAGCAAGCAGGCTCTTCTCGTTGTACATATTAGGATTGCCCCACTGAGAAGATGAACTATTGGAGAGAAGTGCTCTGATGATTTCACTGCTGAATTATGTAAATGATTTTAAACTTTCACACAGACAGGACAATACACATAATCGCTAGACTTACACATGCTTACAGATTTCAACCTATAAAATTTAAGATGATTTTAAAAAATATGACACTTTGATTAGAGCAGCTGCACTGTTATTATTACTGGAACTAGTTTCACTACTAGAAAGAATAAGCAGCAATGTGCCAGGGAAGAATGTAGTTTCAGAGTAGCTTTAATCAGTCTGGTCATACTGAGGCCAAAAACAATGCCAGTTTTGTCCTGCAACCTTCCATGCTCAACACAGCACTCACCTAGCAACTACACAGCATGAGCTGCTGCAGTTCACTGCAACTAACAAAAGATCAACTTCTGTCAATGCTCATTTTCATTCGGGCTGGCAAAACAACCAGACTCACCCTGTGGCCACAGAGCAACTTTTGGACCCCGTGGAAAGTGAAGGAACAGAGGGTGAAGGGCAGGAGGGCCCCTCGCAGCAACAGCCTGGTGAGATCTAGTTAAGCAGAGCATGAGATGCCAAGGATAACTGATACATGGTGACTGAGTCTTTCCAGTTCTGTGATGAGAGACATTTCAGCACATCTCTCCATCTCAATCCCTCACACGATGACAGCAGCTGCTTTTTCCCCACAGGTGCAGCACCAATTTACAGGCCTTTAAACTGGAAGGATATGGGAAGAAATTCAGCATCAGCAGCAGTTCAACATCCCTTGTCTTTCAGCTGGAACCATCCTGCCAGGAGAGCAGGCTACAAACAAGTAAAAAAAAAAAAGTTTCCCAAAAATGGCCCTTCTGACTTGAAGATTAAGCTGTTCTTTGAACCAGCTCATAGTGGTATTGCTACTTAATTCCATCTGATGAGCTGTGATAGTTTCAAGACAACATGTTTGACAAGTTGATTAGCAAACAAGAGGGCAAATATTTTTGTCCTTCATGCTTTTAAGTTTAAAAATTGTATTCCAAGAGCAAAACACAACCTAGGTTTACAAACAAAGCATACACAGTTACACAAAACAACACCCACATTCCAAACCAGATATTCCTGACAACAATCCAATCAACACAGAAGCTATGGCTTCAGCCATCCATTCTCACATGTCTAGCAATTCTCGGGGCAGCTGGAAACGTCAAACAAAAAGAAAGTATTAAAAGTAGAGTAAGATAATGCCTTGGAAACGACCATGAAAGAAGCAGCTCCGATCTGTAAAGTAGCAAAGGCTGACAGACTAACACCTACCTTCAGGTCACCTCCTGTGTCCCCCAGACAGTCTTTGTCCAGCTTAACCTATTTACAGTTATAATCTAATATCAGAATGAAGGAATACTTGCTGAATCTTTTATCTGTACATCTCTTGCTCATTGCAAGGCTCTAAAATGAGGGTAGGGAAGGTAGACATTATATTTACAAACAGAAAGCTAACTACTAATACCCAAGACAAATACATCCTCCCCAGGACCACTGCAACTCTCCCTTCCAACATTCATGGATGCTGACCAACTTTACTGGCAACAAACCATGCACTTAAACATGAGGGTAGAGAGTATTGCAAAGCAACACAGATGGGGGAACTTTCTTTTTTAAGAGAGGAGGGGGAAAAAGTTAACAGATTACAGCAGACAGTCTGCTCTAACAGATTGCAAGTACAAAATGGCCATCTACTTTGTATTTAGGATGCTTCACATCTTTGCTTGGCACAAGAGGATGGTCTGATCTCATCCATACCAGGCTGTGACTGACAAGTACTCAGCGTGTTTACTATTAAATACTGTCTCAGCAACTGATGTGTACACAATTGCTCAGACCTTACAAATGAGAAGAATGAGCAATCAAAGCAGACTAAAAGTCAAGCACAAGCTCTATTTGAAGTTAACAAGATGGGCAGCCACAAATTTCAAAGCTATTCCCACCATTAGGGATGAAGAACTTGACAAGATGTACCACTCCGAGGAGTTTTCTGAGACTCTGAAAGAGATTACCATTTTCTTGTTGGTTTTGCAAGGGAAAAAAGGAAAAAAAACTGCAATAAACATTCCAAAAACTGTTGAAATAGCCAGCGTGTTTTAGAAGTAATGATGACCTGTACCTACTACAGCAGCAACCCACTGACACAAAACTTGAAAATTAAAATATGTTTTAATTATGTGCTTCCAGTCTTCTGCTTCTTGACATAAAAAAGACACCCAGTTAGTACAAGGTATTTCACAAGTTGAGGTGCTTAAGTATAGAAGAATTTATAGAGCAAAGGGAAACGATTTCATTAAAACAAAGATCAGTAGGTGGAACAAAGAATTTGAACCACTCCCCGTTTCCTGCGCATGAGTCCTCAAGACAATTCACATGCAATCAAGAATTCTAATTCTCTACTAGCTCCATTCCCTAGATCCTTAAAGCTTTAACCAAACTCTTTTAGTGGAGTTGATGAATCCCAAATTGCGAAGTCTCAAACTGCATCAGAGGGCAGTTTGCTCAGGACACGCGTGTCATGGCAAGTCCCCACGTCAGAAGTCAGCAAAGGGCACTGCCACACACCTACAAATTACTATTTTGCTGCTCTTTTGGCACTGAAAAATAGTAGGTCAGTCAGAGGAGGAGAACTCTGCCACAGCAAGAACAACTGCTGCTCCTTCCCATCACCACTCAAGACCACAGGTACTCCTGATGTCTGCCTGCACACAACACACGGACAGGGTGAGATACCCATAGCTCTCACAGAGTCACCACAGCAGAACTGAAATGCTACAGAAACAAGAGAGAACCCCAGGTCTCCACAGCTACACAGTGGTTACAAATATTTTCATGTTTCTTATGGTATTTGAGGTAAAGGCAGTACACACCTTCCAAACTCCTAACACACAAGTCAGAGAAACAAAGTCACTAGAACAGGTATGTCTGGAAAGGGACCAGGAAGAGAAACAGATCAAAGAGGAAGATGGCATAATGGACACTGAGGAAAGACGACAAGGAGGACAGCCTCAACACCACTGAATTAAGACCTCTAACGTCACACCACATCTACTTTCATGCTACGTCTCACCTTCCGTTTCCACATGAATTGTGCTTTATTAAGCAAAGTTAAACAATAGTCTCAAAGCTGTCCGAGTTCTCATCGAACACTTTCCCCTTCCTGAGAAGTTGAACACTGGCAAACTATTTAAGTTCCATAGCTAGGAAACAAGGGCACAAGAAGGTGGAAAGGATGTATAAATAATCTTAAGGACTCCATTTTTAGCAAAAATAATTAGGGCACACGAGTGACCAGTGGCAACCAGGAAACCAAACTACATGGAACTGCACAGTGCATTATCCTTTATTGCCTTTTGATATAAATCCGTGGAGAGCAGTAGCTGTTCTCTTCATTCCCTGTGCTATTGGTTCGGCTCATAGAGGAGTTAATCCTCAAAATGCAAATACAACCCTTAAAAATCCACTTCATGGGGAAAAAATAGCCATCTACACAAGAATCTGGTCATCAGAAACTGAGGTGCTCAGCATCGCTGCTATTTCCCTTTCACCCCACACAGTTTAAGTTGTTAAAATAAGAATTTTCTGGTCGGTGCTCTTACGTAAAGAGGCAGAAACAGGTTCAGCAGCTCCATCTCATGTACAGAAAGTAAGCTTATGCCTCTTGCCTCTGGCGCTGTGTATTGCCCATGGGAAGACCATACTGACAAAGTGCACCAACAGCAGTTCTTCCCACAGCCTCTCTTCCAAACCAGTGTCGTCCTTTGCCAACTCAGGAACACGATGAGCTACTTTGCAAGTTTCAGTTAAGTGACAAATCCCAAGGGGGTGGCAGCGAGAGGGAGGACTGCTACTTATCTAGGTGAGTGGGCTGCAGCAGCAAAGCTTACCTGGTGGTTTGAGAGGGCTTCCTGACAAAGTTTTCAGATGAAATTACACCAGACAGCTTAAGGGGGAATGTTTGTCACCAATGAAACATGGAAATCCTATTACAGCCTGCTCTGGGTAGTACGCTCCTGCCACATACTTTTACACTAATTCGGATGTTTGTTTGCTGGACTGCTTTGTGCGCAGGTTCACTTCATTTGCCTGGAAAAAACTCACACGCAGCAAATCTCAGCTCGAGTGACCCAAAAAGCCCTGGGAGCCCCACTGCTACTCAGTAAGAAGCACAAGGACTCAACGCTTATGAGGGAACATTATTCAAATGAGCACAATAAGCCATCAGTTTCACGAAGGAACAGCACAACGCCCGTGAAAAATACCAGAGGCTGTACCGCAGTTTACTCTTCCTCAAACAGAACTTATACAACGTGTAACATGATACCTCCCACCTGAGAAAGCTTGCCTCTTCGGCTGCCAAAAACTCGACTTTAGGAAGCCCAGAACACAACACTGCCAGTCTACCTGTTCATCAGCTGATGGCCCGCACTGACCACAGACCCCGTCCCGCACTCGCCGCCCTTCTCGCAGCCCTCTCATCTCTGCCACGAGTTAGAAATGAACCGGATTTTATGATCGGTTATAAGTTAAAAAGGTTTATAGGTTACTTTACATCAATTTACAAGTAAGGCGTATGACAGGCACAAGCAGCCCGAGTTTGCCGGCTCTGCAGCCCCAGGAAACTCGCACTTAGAGCAGGAGACACACGGAGCGACCAGGAGGGACAAGCTGTGCTTGCCAGGAACCCGGTGCAGTTTTGCGAGAGTTTCTGGGCGCACAAGGACTCTCCGAGGCACAGAACGCTCAGGGAGCGCGCAAGGCGCTCGGCTGCGGAGGACCGCGGGAAGGAAGAAAGGAGTGCCGCCTCCCCCGGGATCACCCCCCACCGCGGGAGATGAGCCGCCCCCCGCCGCCCCAGCCCGGCACTCACACGACCGCCCGGGAGATCATCCAGGACACCATCGCGGCGGCGAAGGCGGCGCGTCCCCTCAGCCGCCCGGGCCGCAATGGCCGCGGCCCCGCCCGAACCGTGCCACCGGCGGCTGCGCGCGTGCGCCGTGCGGCTGCGGGGCGGGGCCGCGCCCGCAGGGGCGGGAGGGGAGCGGGGCGGGGGGACCTGGCTGTGAGGGGAGCCCGCCGTGTGTGAGGGGATGGAGCCGGGGTGAGGGTACCCGGGGGGGACCGGCTCCGGTGAGCAGTGTCTGCGTGTGGGAGACGCTCACCCCTTGCCTGGGCTTTTGTCCTGTGCCCCCATGCGCTTACGTTGGCTGTAGGACTCACCAAAACCTCCGTGTCACCCCCTGAAGTCGCCTCAGTGTGGTGGGACATGGTTGCTGGAGGGGTTAGGTGAGGGTGCTGTGTGTCACCCGGCTGGAGCCCTCCATACGGAGGAGTAGGGCGTGGGGCAGCGGCTCCCTGAGCTCCAGCACCCCCTGAATCACCCCGGGAAGGCGGGGTGATTGTTGTTGACGAGGACTCGGTACAAAAGGCTGTCCGAGGACACATCCTTAGGCGGCCACATAGACTGCTATGTGCAGGTACGCCAAAACTTCGGGTGAGCAGGAGGATACCTGTGGAAGGACTTAGTGCCTGTGCGTCCTGTTGCCTTTGTTCTTTCCCTACACACCTTGTTATCAGCTGCTGCCCAAGGCAGGACAGCAGCAGAGCCCACAGTGTGACCCACTCCAGGTATTCCTGCCGAGCTCATGGTCTGGCAGGTCAGGACATGCAGGAGAAGCTGACTGCTCCCTGATAGATTGCCTAATCCATTGCAACCCATCCCCGCATACCAGCTTTACACTTCCTGCAGGACCGTTTGCACGCATAAAAGGACAATATGTTGCTGAAACTGACTCATCTTCTGTCAGGAGAGGAGGTTGTACCAAATTCTGCCCTTGCCATCGCTGGAAATTTTCAACTTTACTCCGCTGATTTCAATACGAGTTACAGAGTGATATCCAAAGCGACAGATGTCGATGCCACTGAACATGCCACTCAGCAGCTACGGTAGGGAAAGAGAAGGTTACTGTTTCAATACTGCACCTGCTTACTCTCACAGAAAGTGACACGCCAAAGTCAGCCTCACAGTCTGTAGCAGAAATTAGTTCTTTAACAGGTCTTTAAGTGGGGATAATGTGCAGTTTCCCTGCCTGCCATACAGTAGGAAGAAAGAGCTTATTCTTTGTAAACTACTCCCTGCGTTATTCAGATGACAGGTGTGAGGCGAGTGCAAGATGGTTTCTGTTCCACAGGCAAGCACCAGAATTCCTCACCTTCACCAATGAGGAGCACCCAGCCACAGGTATTTTCACTCCCTTGCAGCCTTCAAACACACGTCAAAAGGCCAAAAGAAATGAAAGGAAGAGGGTGAATAAACAATCGTGGAAGATTTCAACAACAGCAATGTTTGAAAACTATTGCTATAGCTGTGTACCGTGAAAGTTGAAGCCTGGAATGGGAAAGTACACATTATAAAAATAAACTATTTTTAACCATGTAGGAATTTGGGTCTTGCAAGTTATGATATTGCCTATCTTGGGTGTCTCTTCAACTTGACCTTTGTAGGGGGTTACTGATGTAGGAAGAGGTAGAGAGGAATTTGTTTGTGAGCAATTTAAAGTACACCACTCATAAATCTCAGTTTTGAAACAGGCCTAACCTGAATGCATTCTTCCTTTCATTCAATGAAAGGAGAAATCTGAACCACTACTCCTATGCTCTCTTAATAACAAACTCCTCCAGTGAAGGACTGTACAGAGCAAACTCACACAGCAAAGCATTTGTAATATAAATTACCTAGGAGAGATTACATTTTAGACTCCAGCTCTGTGAACTCCTGCTGCCTGCCTGACGCTGTGCTGAAGTTGTAGCATTCCAGTCCCTCCAGAGCAAACTGCAAAATGAGAACTCTACTTTATAGCACATGAAATTAAGTACACAATACATTTCTTCACCATAAGCAATTGTGTGTTCGGTACTAGCTCAGAGAACCATTCCAGAAAAAGACTGATACTCTTTTTTTACTGTCTGAGATCATGTTTACAATGATTCCATAGCTGCATATTTTATTTCATATGGAGTATGTTTAGAGGAAAACCACTCCTTATTTTGTAGCAAGACATTTATTTTTCTTGCGTTTGTTGCCATGGCAATACTGTCTCTGGTGGAAAGCTAAATTTACATTTAAAGAGGCATTTTTTTCTAAAGGGTAAAGGCAGATGGCTCCTAAGAGTAATTTACCTTGCTAAGAAGATTAGACTTTATTTCATAGAATGTTTTGAGACTTAATTCCATGCAACGAGCTGGGTGGTGGTTGCTGGGCCCCCAGCAGACAGGCACAGCGATGCCACGTGAACTTCCCTGTATTCCAGTTCACACATAATGATAATCCATGCTCCTGTATGGCAGAAATAGAGAGAGCAACATGGCAATTAAATCCATGCCATGTACCTATTCAAACCTGGTGTGTCTTACTCATACGTCTGCCTATTTTTATGTAAGGAGGAGACTTTCAGGTATCTCATTATGGGATATTTTTGACACTCCTTCCAAAAGCCACTTAATATAGTTAAAAAGTTTCTGTAAATAGATTTAACAGTCTTTGGAAAATCATTTGTAAAGGTCACCTAACTTCTTTGATATAATACAATGTATGTATGCAAACATCAATATTTAACTTGCATCTCTTTTACAGGGTAAACCAACATCTCAGTTACACTGCAGATGTGCGAATAGCAATTGAGCAACATTTAGGAAGATATGAGCTAGTTTCTGAGAGAGGGGTTCATCCTCCCTGTAGTAGGAGGATGTGCTCCCCCAAAGACAGCATCGCATGTGTTAAAAATGCATATAGGTTAATCATAGTGCTGGGCTTTTCTTAACTTTGCTGTTTTGTATTAATCTATTCAAGAGGAGTCTCAAATATAGAAGAATTTGAAAAAATACAGAATTCTTTCAGTTACTGAATCATATCACACATTTGTGATTTTGGTATTAGAACACAGAACAGATGATGCCAGTTTACTTGTGGAAACAACAGAATACAGAATGAGTGAGGATAACCATTTCTAAGCTGGTGTGATTATTAATTAACATGGCTGAAATATATGATTGATGCTACCTTCAAATATTTAACTCCTCATCTATCTTTCCTGTGAAGCAACAGCAAAGGTAGGTTCTGATCACAGCCCAGATAAACAGCCCAGTAGTCCTTCTGCCTTAATGAGATTTCATTTGAGACAGAGTGAGTGTTGGGCAATGCTGTGGACGTTCTATGAAATCAAAGCAGCTGAAGCTTTTGCACAGAATTCTGGCCCTGCCACTTCTTGCTCACATGTGTGTTCAGCCTCCCAGCACAGCATCTCCCCAGGGAACAAGGCAAAGCCAGTTGGTGTCTAACACAGCTGTGTCTTAAGCTATTTTTTTTTCCAACACACAGACAGACAGAATGCCAAGAGGCCATTTGTTTATCTTTTTCATAAGTATTATTGTGATATTTATTAACATTCCAAATTAGTCATGTGAAGCATCCAACTTAATGAAAAAACAAATAGTTTAAAATTGATATTTCTGCCTTTTTTTCCTCTACATTTGGCATGTTTCACCACTGTTCTCACAGTTTTATTACACACAGTTTGACATTCATTTTAATGCTCTTGCTTCTATGTAAATAAATAAAATCCTTAGGTTTTGAATAATTTCTTCCCCTCATGTTCACAGATACACCTGCAAATGCAAAACCTGAAGACACAAACGGCAACATGATGTAAAATTCATAGTTTAGGGGGTTTCTCGAAGTCAGTTGCCCGACTTTCAGGGCCCTGACAGTTTCAGTTAGTTCTGAATTTTAAGCAACATGGAATTTAGAATTCAAAAGGCATCTAGCTGGAGTTGTAGGATGACTGCACTACATATTAGAGGGAAATCTTTGCAAGAAGATGATTTAGCAACAACAGGCCCATGGATTTTTTTCCTTCTAAGACTACAAAAGAATGAAGTCTAGCACTGTTAATTCTGTGAGGTCAGGAAAAGCAGATAAGGCTGGGACAAAACACCAAAAACAACCCAGAACAGTCCTGTCAATATAAAGCCAGAGCATTTTCACCACTCCAGCACTAGCCTGTTTTGACTGCAGCAGGCAATTCAGACAGAATCCAATTAATTTGATTAAAAGTACAAACACTAAAAGCGTACTCTGCTTCCTATTTTAAAGAAAATTCACCATGCTGTGAAGGGGCTTATCATGAAAAGGCAATCACTATTGATTTGTTTTATCAATTTTTAATGGCTTGCAATGGGTTAAGTGCCTCTAATTCCTTCTTACCAGAAACATAAGAGCACCCCTTAGGATTTTTTTTTTCTGAAGGGAAATGTGATCTAAAGAGGAAGGGGAAAGTTCAGAACAGCTCCGTCTGAGACTTTCTCCTGGCAGCAGTCATATGTCCATCCTACCTTATTACTTCCATTTGGAGTTGAAAGCATATGAAATGCAGCCCCACAAGGGCAAGCTGAGGCAACAGAGGAGCTGATTTCCAGCTCATCAGGAGTACCCAGGAGGCTCTCACAGAGCAGCTCTGCTGTCCCTGTCGCTTCCCCATGTCTGCATTGATAAACCACAGACAGAGAGGTCTGACCTGTATTGCACTGGACCTCTGCAGCTAAGTGTGACCACACCAGTACAGCCCAGGTTGGTATAGGTTATTTTCCCCCTGTTCCCAAGCAGAACAGCATTAAAGCTGTTCAAAAACTGCAAATGAATGTGTCAGTAAATATAAACCTCTCTCTCCTGGGAGCAAACCCGTTTTAAATGATGGGCTACACATCCTCTGGTATCTGATGATCCACTCTCTGGGATTTGCAATCTGTACACAGAGTCACAGACCAAAGCCATATTATTCCTTCCTGTCTGGGTAGTGTCATCTCAGCTATGTTCCATTACTACTTGTGATGCATCACATTTAATAATTATAGCAATCTGTTAGAGGTTTTTTTTTAAAATACACTTTCTGCTTTTGATGTTTCTGATC